CAGCAATATACAGAATCTGACTACTTCTCATTTGTCACAGGAATGTAAAGTTGGTTTAACAAAAAAACAAAGTTTTACAATCTAATAAGAAAAATGACCAAAACAGACTGTGGGATTTGCCTCATCTAGATGGACCAAAAGCCTAGCTATATATTGCTACTTAACACCCAAGTGGCAAAAATCAAAGCCCTGAAAGATGATGTCACCATAGCCATCAAATTGTTTTCTACAAATGATGTTGCAAATATCTGGCACCAAAGTGAAGATAACAAGGATCACAAAGAAATAAGTTCCCTCTTCTAGCTAGTAAATGCTAGAAGAAGCAATATTCAATATAAACAGACCTATAGGGCTTCTAGACATTGGCATGTTTAGATATATGAGATAACTGTATTTACTACATTCAAAGAGATAAAGACCAACTTGAAATTTCAGCAGGGAATGGCAACTGTAGAAAGTAATAGAATAGGGCCAAGGAGACCCTGACTCAAAAAAACCAATGTATGGGGTCAAAAGATGACTGTATTCTTAACACATTCTCTAAATAATGTTAATGACACATTGTGTTTGAGAAGAATGATAGATTACTACAATAAACCTTCAAGTCCTTATTCCTGTTTAATGTCTATAATAATTTCAGAATTATTTTTCTAATGTATGAATTTGATGTTTCAGTACGTTATTTAATAATATTTTTTTGGGGGGATGAAGGAATGGCTTAGTGGTTAAGAGCACTAGCTGTTCTTACAGAGGATCCAGGTTCAGTTTCCAGAACCCACATGGTAAGTCCACTTCCGGGGGGATCCAATGCCCTCTTCTGGCCACTGTGGGCATTGCATGCACATGGTGCACTTACACACATACAGGCAAAACACTCATATAAAATATTTAATTAAAAAAATACCAGGGAGGCTGGAGAGATGGCTCAGTGGTTAAGAGCACTGACTGTTCTTGCAGAGGACCCAGGTTTGATTCCCAGCACCCACATGTGAACTGTCCTTAACTCTAGTTCCAGAGGAATCCGAAGCCCTCTTCTGACCTCCATAGCACTGCACATGAGTGCATTCACCTACATGCAGGCAATACACTGATATACATAAAATAAAAATAAATATTTTTAAAAACCAGGAAAAAATTTAAAAATCAATCAATTAAAAAATGAGTTATATTTGCGGAAGAAATATAAAAAATTGCTTCATGTTAATTAGTAGATGTGGAAAATATTACCATTGAAATCTACCTGATGACTTTATATCCATGCTCATGTGCTAAGGATCTCAGAAAGTAACCAACAGTGACTAATAATAATCAGATACATAGAGATTAGAGATGCATGTGCAAACATCTAAGTGTTAGTTGCATTAAAATAGTTTTTCTGTATGAACCAGTATATATTAATAATGAAATGGAGATCTCTTTTAAAGGTTAAAACCTCATTCAATTTTCTGTCTTATAGGGTTTATGCTGAATACAATATTGTATAACTGTAATAATTCAACCGTAAACCTAAAAATATACCACCAATTTTGAAAGAGATGTACCCTCTTTTAAAGCCCAAGTAAATCTTAAATCCACTAAAATTCCTCCAGCCTACATTCCCTCTAGAGTTAAGCACATCTTCT